ACGTTTCAATCTATAGTTCCTATGATGTATTGTGCAAAATACTTGAGAATTTTGAAATTTCTAGTTTGAGTAGTAGGTATCACAAGACATGACATAAATAAAAACTTCGAAAACCGAACACGCGACTCTGGCGCACTCAAATGTTTTGTTATTTTTAATTTTATATGATGTTTGTTTGTTTTTTTGCGAATTTTGTTTCGATAACTTTCCCTTTACATCTTGAGGAGTGACATATAAAAAAAAATAACACAATCAAACACGGCCGGACTCTCGTGCATATTCTTATATGAACAGAGCCACAATTTGCTTTCCGTAACGTCTGCACAGGAAATTAGGGTGCGCGAGGATGTCAGAGCGCCTTGCTCGGATTGGAAGGGTAAAGAGGCTATAGCTGCCTTTGTCTCCGTTCGAGCGCATTAAAAGGGTTGCATGTCGACCTTCAAACGCGAGACATTGCGCGCCAGGAGCACACGCGCCGCTCTTGTTAGCCCTGACCTCGGTGTATCTTACACCGTGGCCCTGACTCGGGGAGACAGGGAGCGCTCTCTTTACCTACCCACTAATTCCTCCAATAAGAGAGCTAGGTCCTCCGGCGTCTCCGAGCGCTTTCATGTCCCCCTCTCCCTTAGTTCCTCACATCCGTTTCACACATAGCCCTAGTGCAGCCGACGCTCTGATCCGCTGTCAGGCAGGACCAAAAGGGCACCGAAATGGAGCAGGACCGACGCCCAGTTCGCGCTTTCCACTTTTCCCCCGCTTCCCCCTCTCCCCCCTTCCACCCTGTCCACCGTTGCCTGTTTCCTTTTCTTCCAGGGTGAGAAGGATCTTCTGCCTTGCAGAAACTCGTGTCTGGTCGTCGGCCTTTAAGTCCAGACGAAGCGGACGCTACGATGTAATGGTACCAATCACGCGGCTTGAAAAAAGAGCACGTCACTGGGCCTTTTCTGTTTATGGTGGGCTCAGCGATGCTAGAACGCCGGTGTTGCCGAATTGTGGGAAATTTCTCACAAACGAAGCTCCAGGAGACAACGGGGAGCTAAACTCGAACGCATCTAAAATCAGTTTATCTTTTCTCCTTGGCGTTAGACTTTCCACGCGAGGTTGGAAATTTACCACGATTCGGCAGCACTGTAGAACACGCACAAAATGCGACGAAGACCGCAAGTGTCCGCGTTAGACTCTGTCTAATTTTTCCGATCAGCTCGTAGCATCGGCTGCGTTTTAAGGTAAAACGAGGTATATTTATTTTGCTGTTGCAAATACAATATACCGCGTTTCACCAGCTAAACCGGCTAAACAATTAGGCGGAGAAAAAAGCGGAGGCTCTAGAGGGTCCAACTCGCCTCGTGGAATTAACGTTTCGTAGACAACTTTTCATTGGCACACGTTTCATGAACACACATTTCGTCGAAACAAGGGTTTAATCGAAACTCGTTGGGCGAATTGCACGCTGTAGGGATATTTCGTTGCGCGTATATCACTGGAGTGCGTGTTAATTCCGGCTCACGAATACATATGAATCTCAATAACGCCAGTTACCGAAAACGAATGAAAGCGGGGCTCATTGTCCCAAAGAAATTTTCAGAAAATCACGTATAATTTTTTAATGACATAACGTTAGTGTTGAAATCTTGGCATCTAGCTAAAACAGCCAGCGCTGCATTTGGGCGAAGAAGGATTGTTCGGTGATACATATTTTTATTTTGCCAACCCCCGCCCCCCCCCCCCCCCCGCAAAAAAAAAAAAAGAAAAGAAAAAAAGAAACATTCGAAACATATTTTTTATACATTGAAATTACGTTTAAACATCAGGTTAAAACTATTGTCAACTCGTCTCTAAGCGTTCTTGGTGTTGTAAGTGCATACCGAGCAATTTTAAAAATCCACTGTGCTTTTTCGTTGGTGTTATTTTGCTATCTTGTGCGTAGCCGCCTTCAGTTTTCTTCAGTTGCATGGAACAGCATTGGGGAGGCGGAAGCCGGGCTCACACGTGTACAGTCGTGGTCCCACTGCGCACACATCATTCAGAAGACGTTCTACAAACACGAGTCTCCGCAAGATCCGTGGTTCGAACGCCGCGTGCCAGGTTTCTCATTGACCACATTGCCATGCGGAATTTTAAGAACGGACCTCGCGGTAATTTACTTTCGAATCTGTATGCAGACTGTCTTTTGTATGACGTTTAACCGGTGGGACCGCAGCTTTACACATCGTACAAAAGACAGTCTGCATACAGAATCGAACACGAGACACCGTAGGATGTGTGCTTGGAATGCCGTATGGCAATGAGTTCAGGGAGAAAACTTGGCATGCGGAATTCAAACCACGGATATTCCGGTGACTTGTGTTTGCAGAACGTCTTTTGCAAGATATATGAGCAGTGGGACTCCAGCTTGGCGTCTCTAGTATTCGCGACTCCGGCGACCTATACGCCTCGCAAGTGGGCTCATTTTTGTCTTCTGCGCATGAGAAAGGAAGTAGCGATGACGTCAGAACGCCGAGCCCTGATTGGCTGATCGCGACCCCCTATCTGAGCGTCGTCTGCTCCTTTGCAACGTCGTCTGCTCGCAACGTCGTCTGCGTCTGTATTACCTTTCCTGCGACTTTCGGAAGTGCAGGTCTTTACGAGCGAGCTCGACTTCGCCTTTCAGAGAGGGCAGTCGAAATAACTCGAGCGGTACGTTGTTTTTGTCTAACAACTAGCCGACGGGCATAAAGGAGGGAAGTCAAAGGACTCACTGGCGAGGTGTCCCGAGGCACCGAGGTTTGTTTGCTAAGAACCGAGATTGAGGGTGGTTAGTGTCCGCAAGTTCCCTCCCAAATACTTTTTCCCTCCTTTCGTGTGCGGCGAGACCCCTATCTCTTTAACGGCGTCGGCGGGTTGGTGCAGTGAACGTCGTCTGCTTTACGTCTGCTAGTCAAAGCGATGGCTGCTTCTTTACCTTTCCTGCGTCTGTCGGAGATTCACCGCTTTTTTACCGGCGAGACTCACCGTTGCCTCGGAAGACAAGGAGATGACAAGAGGAAGAGATTTACCTCTTAATCTAAAATTGAGGTCAGCGATCAAAGTATAAGACGGGAAGGGTTCACAAGGGTCGCGTGGGCATATTCCATTGAGCACACCAGCCGGTCGTGGGCAGACGGTCGCCGAGTCGGAGTGCCTGCTAGGCCTATCTGCCGTGCTCGCTTGGTCGTTGTCGGTGGAATCGTGGCCGTTGGAGCTTTTCCCGGGTGTTTGTGGATCCAGCGTTCTTGTTCCTCGTGGTCTGTTTCAAGTACTTTTTACTTTTTTTTTTGCTGCTTGAAGTCGGGACGCGTGAGAAGCGCACGTAGAAAAATAAACGTCCGTTGGTCGTCGCGACCGCGACGCTGTCGGCCATGCTGATTTGATTAAGACAGCTTCGAAGCTGTCGTAGGATTTCGTCGTAAGGTGCGCAAAACTTGCGAAAATTTCGTTTTGTGAATACGAATTTGTTCTCAAGTTTTGTCTTACGCACATTTTTGGCGAAAAATCGTTTCGTGAATCTGGCCTCTGCACTTCCGAAAGTCGCAGGAAAGGTAAGAAGACGCAGACGACGTTGCGAGCAGACGACGTTGCAAAGGAGCAGACGACGCTCAGATAGGGGGTCGCGATCAGCCAATCAGGGCTCGGCGTTCTGACGACACTGCTACCCCCTGCGCAAGGAGCAGACGAACTTGCCCTCCGCATAGGGGACGCCGCTATCAGGCAAATATGGCGGTCGAATCCAGGTAGTGCCGTGCCATGTGCCAGCTCAAGGCACAACGCTGGGGCACCAGCAAGTAAGCGTTGGACTCAAGATTGGTTCCCCCGCGTTTATCTTCCACGTTTCGAACCTGCGGCGATGTGTTGGGGTACGCGAACTTCCAGAGGCTGGACTTTCTTCGAGGAAACGAGGAAAGGACTGCCCACTGTCCTTCCACGGTGCTGATGAACGTTTATAAACGCAGAATGTCGTTCTCACGCGGTTACGTAGGTCGCGTGCAGAGCAACCTGGGTCACAAGGCGATACTACGGTTACGACACAGTCACCGGTACAACTGTTCTGTCGCGCAAACCACCGACAACATGAGAAACACGGACGCCACAAGAGACGAGTAGAAATCGCGAAGAGACCTGTTTCGGCCTGTTTAATGTTTTCCCGCTAGGTGCCGTTCGTTTTGCTGGAGTCACGAATAGAGCGAATTCATCGAAAATGTATACGCGTCTTTTGTGATCGTTACATACAGTTCAAGGTGTCTTGTGACTATGAGACAATCTGTAAACTGATTGGCTTACACTCCTTGTGTAGTAGACGGATGATGCGTGATTTCATGTTTTTGCATAAGGTTGTTAACGGTACACGTGATTCTAATTGGAGACGACGGACGTCAAAAAGACAAGGGACAAGCACAAACGTCTCACTTTGAGACGTGTGTGTCTTTCCCCTTGTCCCCTTTGTCGTCCGCCGTTTTTATTTGGAATGACGTGTAACGTTAATTAGCTCGCGTGTTTATTAACCTGCTCTTGTAAATGGTGCTGGTGGTTGCGCAGCGCTAATGAACTCTGTATATTTATGGGTCCGTCAGAAGTCTAGTCATGCACGCTCATTGTTTTACCCTTCCGTTTTACACAACACTGATTCCATTACTCGTATGCAACTGGTTTTAACAAATTCATATCCAACCTAGATAAACTAGATATCGATATTGTTTTGGATGCATACAAAGCGACACGAACCGACGTCTTTCTTTCATTCTGACGCGTGAACATTTGTTCATGGGATGTGAATAGTTATTATGATGAGGTAATACACCACTAAACAGGCGTATAGTTTATGTGGCACTGAAAATGAAGCAAATGAATGAATACATAATTTGTTCGCCGTGATTGGCTGTTTTAAAGTTCCACAAAAAAGTGAACCCAGGTACTTTTTTCTTCTTATAATGTTTACTGCATGGGCGAGGCCAAGCGAGCGTCCTTCTCGCCTTGTACTCTTGCAGTTCCTATAGACTGTGTGGCGGAACGCACGACATGGAGATGCAGCTGGCGAAACCATGGTCCAATCGGTGCCCCATCCGACCGCGCACGTACAGGGGAACGTTCCAGCTGGCCCTGCCCCCCTTCATTGGATACTTTGTTCGGGTAGGTACTGGACGCCAGTCGCACCCATTTGCTTGTGCGTGTAGGAAGTAAATGTAATTCGGGTGTCTCTAGATTTCTTGCAATTCGGTTTCAGTTTAAAGCTGGTTCGTCCGGTCGGTTCGATTGGGGCACCAAGGAGAATGCAGGAAATGGTGCTCCACGTGCCGCACGCGCACGCCTTTCCCGTAGAAACGATTTGAAGTAAATAACCGAAATAAAGCGTTGACGAACGCGCGTGGAAGATGCCATTTGTTTTAGGCTTTTGCTTTAGAACAGTTATTGCTGCAGATGCCGGCAGCATATTTTTACGGTGCAGGCGATAGACTCTCTCAACGACGCTCACGCCGGATTGGCTGCTCGGCAACACGCGGGAACTTAAATTTCGGATTCAGACGGCGCGTGTATCAGTCGGGAGCGTGTTAACCCACCCCCTGCCTGCGTTCACGCCGCTTCGTGACGAAAGTAGGCGGCTGCTAATTACGAAACTATGAACCCACTTTACCCAACCCTCCATCCCTCCATACCACTGTCCCCCATGCACTCGTGGAAAGGGAGTCCAATACCGTTAAGTTATGCGAAGTTTGTCGACAACATTCGTTTTTAGGGGCGATGCTCCTTAGGGTCTAGCCTTGTCCGTCCGTCCGTCCGGCCGGCGTCCGTGCTCACATAAAAAGAAAAAATGTTTGCGCAGTCGACAGGATTCGAACCTGTGCGGGGAAACCCCAATGGATTTCTGGTCCATCGCCTTAGCCATTAACCACTCCGCCACGACTGCGGGACGAGTAGGGGGCTCTGAGATGTGGTAGTAACTCAAGAGCTGGGGTTTCTGTCATGGATGAAACGTTGCATGTAGCCGCTCAACGTCTATACAGGAGACGGCGCTGCGGTCAAACGCGTATATAATCGCGTTAAACTTTCCATGCACTGGTTCAACGTTTATAGACGAGAAGGCGCTGCGGTCAAATGTTCCACTGCGTATATAACCATGTTCCATATCACACATTCTCTTTCTGACATGGACCGTTGACTTAAGCGGTGGAGATGCGTTTCCACGGCTTCTAGCGGATCCAAGCTGATCCGCTAGAAGAACCACTGGCTCTGCATTTCACCGACCACAAAACAGTAAGAATGAAGTCGAAACGCAACCCGGAACTCAGCACTACCTATGAGCAATAAAAAAAAAAAAATCAGCATCATCAGCACGACCTATGAACTATAAAATCAGTATCATCGACACCACCAGAGCTTCGCCCCAATCAACATCATTCACCACGTAAAGATGCGGTCATTTCTTTTTCTTCAGTGTTAATAGTAAAAAAAGAAATGTCATAAATTCCGCCAAATACCTCGGCAAAACAAAATGTTCGAGAAAAAGAGATAAAAAAGTAAGCCCATGTCGAACCCTGGTACGCTGCGCATGAGGCAGACACCTTAGCACTAAACTAGGTTACCGCTCCGTAAACTCGTCGTAACCGCTGCCTATGGTGACAGCGGCAGCGTCTATCTCGACGAGCCAGCCAATCAGGCGTGAGCGCTGCTGCTATAGTGCGTATCGCCTGCGCATTAACACTATTACCAATCTGCATGCCGGCACGTGTGGCGCGTGGAACACCATTCCCTGCATTCTCCTTGATGCTTGAGAAATTTAGCAAACACTCTAAGAAATTCATACGCGTCTACTTACTCGCAAAACACTAGAACAGAGAATCTCCGCGATCTACAAAATCAGCTCGGCGAATGATGAGGCGGAACATCTTTCTAAACCCCAAAAGTAAGTCTGCGCTGAGGCATTACGCAATGCAAGCATGACTCTTTGCATCGCGTAATGCTACAGCGAAGACTTCATTTTTGGGTGTAGACGGATGTTCTGGCTCGCTGAGCTGATTTCGTAGATCTCAGAGATTGGCTCTTTGAGTGTTTTGTGGGTACGTGCAGGCATTTCTTAGAGTATTGGCTTGTAATAATTATCTCGTTTGGTCACGTCTTGCGCGGGCGCACAAACACACAAGCGCCCGCACGCAGATGTACGCATGCATACACACGCGCATGCATGCATACAAATAATGAAGATGCCTGCGTGTTGTTTTCGTCGCACACCAAAAAGGCGGAAAAAAAAAACATGGAAATAACAATTCTGCTATACGCAGTTATTACTTTTTTAAACGCTGTCCCTTGAATAATAAAGTAAATAAACCCGGCATAAATGAGAAACTGAGAAGAAAATATGACACCGGCGCACCCCTCTCCACCCTAACGTTCTAAGAGATCTGGAATTTCGCGCCAAGCACTTGGCAGAGCGCCGCGTTCTCCGGTGGGCGCTCTTGGGATGGTTCAAAATATGCTTAGACCGAGACTGCGATGTGACACTAAACAAAGGCATACATAATTCCGAGTGTCAGAGCGCGAGCTGTGTTTGTAGGTATGTAACTATGTATAGACACGGCCGGACTGGAAGCGCGCGCGCTCTTTCTCTTCTTACGGCCTTTGCAATTGCCCGGGAGTCAATGGCATTTTTTCTCCTTACGTAGTTCACTTGCTTGCCGACGGGGGCGCAACCACCTCACCCCACTTAAAGCGCGCGCGTGTATGAAGGCACTCTAACCCCACTGGGAGAGTCCCTTCGAGCTGCTTTGCTCTAATTTTGGAGCTTCGCAGGTTGTTCTTTTGGCAACAGTTCCGCAGAATACTTCTGATTAACCATGCAAAGACGGTCACGGACAGAAACGAAAAATCAGCTGGACATGTGCACAAGCCCTCGATCCTTTAGGCTGTAACATGCACTGCACGAAAATTGTACATACTACTACACCCTTGTCTAGAGCCGCTGACCGGCTTCATGTGCGGCCTATGAAATGATGATGCCGACCACGGCAACTGATAGATTGGGCCTGCTTACATTTCACGAGAGTGTACGAATTATTTATAATTTAAAGTTCTTCCACGCAGAAGGGGTCTGTCTCCTCCTGTTCTTGAGTTGCAACCAAAGTCTTGGAGGCAAAGACGAGTATAGTTCTTCCGCAATTGCATTCCCTGTCTTTACTTACTACTTTTTACTCCCGAATATCTCGGAGATGTGCGTCAAATATTCACCGTTTTGGGCTCATCAGAAGCGCATTAGATAGTGGCTGAGGGTCTAAACATAAGGGTCTGGTGTCAAACCCTATAAAAATGTCGGCCGCAAGTTGCGACAGTGCTGAGATACACTGTCAGACGCGCTCTGTGCAAACAGCAAAGAGTAACCCAGGGGTGAGGTGACAGCGCTCCCCGCGAATTGCGGCGGGAGGTGGCGATTGTTACAATTGCAAAGGCCGTAAGAGGAAAAAGGGAGCTCGCGCTTTCAGTCCGGCCGTGGTATAGATAAGCTTCGTGATTTGCCAAGCGTCCTGCGTAGTGTGCAGCGATGAGCTCTTCCAACTGCTTTGCGTGAAAGTGGACGCTCCAGACACCTTAGGGTGTGGATGCAGCCACCTCGATGGCTCTGAGCCAAATGCGCCGGCCTACGGATCCCCAGTTGGTGTGTTCAAATCCCGGTCTATGTGCCTGCCCTCTGTCGGATGCGTCTTGCGGAAAATGGCTCTGTGAAATGACAAACTAAGCGATAAGTAACTCCCTGATGAATGGTTGGCTGGCTAGCAGACGCTCATACGTACGCGCCCCTGCTTATCTGTCTGGCCATTGAGAGCTGCACAGAGTAGCACCTCTATCGCTAGTGAAGATTATATTATATTATTGAACCCTCTGAGCATGCATGTTGCGGCGTGATAAAAAACAATATATTTTTGTTTTGTTTTGCTAAAAAGGCAGTGACGAATTGCTTTAAAGAGGTTTTACGTAAAGATGTTATTTTTCAACAAACCATTAACTTATATTGTCATTGTTTTTCGGAATATGATGCAGACAATATCCGAAATTTTAATCCTCCGCCGTTAAAGTAATTCAAATTTAAACACAGCCAAACTGCTCAGACTACACATACAAAACACACAGCGCTTTCGTTGCCAACAACGGAAGCTCTGACGTAACTTCAGACAAAGAGAGTCACTTAAGCTTTTGATTGCTGCCTCAGTAAAATAACGTCACTCTAAAGAAGTCAAGATTGATGGAGTTGAGGGAACACAATTCTTCAACAATTATGCTTGTACCCACCATCAACTATGTTGATAAAAACCGGATATAAGTCAACGCTCGCGACTGTGACGTTACCATGCCTGATGTGACGTCAGGACACAACGAGCCATGCATACTTGCGACATTTGGCGTGAAGTTTCGTATTGGTGGTTATAATTCGTTTCAGAAATATTGGGGCGTCTTTTAATAAAATAAATATCACACATGACTATATTTAGGCCCTCTCTACGTGACCCGCGTTAAAACTTAGTAGCTTCCGGATATCACCCAGCAATCCCTTTAAGTTCATGCTAAACGACTCAGCCTATTTGCACATCTAACCGCCATACACAAGCATACACACACTTTTCAAGTACATAGCAGACCTCGTTTATTTTTACAGGATGGAAGGCTTCGAATCCAGCTTCAGGGTATCCAGCAAGGTAAAGTCTTCGGATGCCAAGCGTTTACCCTGAGACTTACATCAAATAAGTAACTGGGATATGTACCCCACCGTTGCACAATAAATATGGGAAAGAAAACCATCCTGTATGGGCGAGGATTTCATGGCCTGTGTCCTTTTTTGTCAGATAAGTACCTCGAACAAGTAAGAGAGTGCCAAACTGCAACAACGGAGTAGATGAAAACATCCTAGGTATTGGAAAAAAGTCACATTAACCTCCCCGTATACAAACTAAATAGTTTTTTTTTTTTTGGTGTGAGTTTTGAATATGTTTGTAGGTTTTTTTTCGTGTGTTCTTAATACATTGAAACATATCAGAAATTAAATGATAGACTCGAAATAGTTGATTATTTTGTTTATGTTTCGAGTGTAGAGTAGCGTAGCGAGCTCTTCGGGTACAACTCATAAGACAAACCTACGCTCAAGTTACCCGGGAATCTGCGGCGGGTGCTAATGCCAGGGCGCTATTTTAAAGGGATGGTGAACCGAAATTTGGATTTAAAAAAAAAAAAAAATGCTGGAGATGTAGGCGCGACGCTACAATCCTTACAACACTACTAGTAAGGCGATATCTCAAACGGACGGCCGTATTTTCGGAAAAAGAAGTCGAGATTGAACCAGGCCGTCGAGGCGCGTGACGTTAAGATACCTATTTCCTCCTCTCTTCGCTTCGCTCCCCCAAGGCCGCGAGGCGGAGAAGACGCGAGGCCGTTCCCACTCCTTCTCGGAGAAACATGACGTCAACATTCCTGCCAAATGCGCCGCTTTTTTTTAAATATACGGTCATCCGTTCGAGATATCGCTGTATGAGTGATGTTTTGGTGTTTGTCGCATCCCGTTGCACGCTTTTGCCACGTGTTTTGGAGAATCCAGATTTCGGTTCAGCATCCCTTTAAGGGGAAGCGGCGGATTAGGTTGCTGCGATGGTCAATACATGCATCGTTCAAAAGCCTCGTTTTTCTCAGGAAAGTGTTGATCCGTATTAAGTATCGCTGAAAAGTAACGCGTCTTCGTCTTTCTTCCGTGTCGTGTAGTGTTGCGGTGAAAAAAGCACTACCAAAAAAAAAAAAAACTAGAAAAAACTAGTCTAGAACTTTTTTTTTTTTGTCGCGGACGACGCTGTTTCCGCGGTGGTAAGGAGGGCTCCGTGGCTTCGACCAAGGAGAGTTGTCACGTGCCTTGCACCGACGCTTTTATAGGATCGATGGGGCCGCAGCCTCCACAACTCGCAAAGCTATCGTGAAACGGAGTATATCATTATGTAGCTTAGTTATTCGTGAAAAAAACAAAAAAAAAAAGATTATAGCCGTCCGTAAGAAATTGCCACCGAAAAAAAAAAGCAAAACTTCGGCCTTTTCCCAAACTGATTGAAGCCTCTGAAGGTTCACCTTAGTTCCAAGACCAGAGCATGGGTTGTGATTCCCAATTCATACGTAATTATCTCTTTCCACAGCACGGAAACACGAGAACAATAATAACGAGTCAAAACTACGTCCTTGTGTTTAAACGTTCCGCTCCAGTTTGTAGAAAAAGCTATTGATACATAAGAATATATTCGAAGCGAATTGGTGTGTAACCTTTCTTATTGCCGTACTGTTATCACTTCATTGTCCCAAAATAATCAGAAAGTATCAACAGGGTGGGTCATATATAGTTTACACTGTATTTAGTGAATAACTCTTAACGGTTTACCAACACCCAGAGTATCATCGTATGACTACTCCACTAGTGTTTCTTCTCTAAAAAGCCAACTTAGACTTTGCCCCTTCAAACCCGGGGGAAGTTATGTCAGAAGTGAGACAGTGCAAACGAGCTGGTTAGAAAACGACATACTAGTGAATATTCAGGCAAACACAGAAAAAAAAAAGAAGGGAAAAAGGGACTCAACATACATAAAGAGGTTGCCCATCGCAACCTCTAGCGGCCAGACTAAGTAAGCCAGACCCAAGGCTTAACGCCCGTAAAGGAAATACACCTTCGAAAACTGAGCAAAACTATCGCCCACAATAGTCAACCATTCCCCCACTGCCCAGAGCTAAAAATCTCCCTCTTCTCTCCTCGGCTAGAATATCAAGCCTAATTAACACTTGTCTAATTAGACAAATCGTTGGTAACACGAATGCGTTTAACGAATGATTCCTCCCTCATAACATCGCTGAATGGAGCCAGCGGCCATTGTCCATTGTTAGTATCATCAATGTAGCAAATTTTTATAATCTGCTACTAGCACATTGTACTATCAAATATGTAATGCCCTAACCGGGTCCCTAGGGTGAAATAAATAAATAGAATGAGAGTTGTATAGTATTCACAAAGCACGATGTGATTTTTTCTTGATTTCAGAGTTTCACTACATAACATTAGAAAGTCAACGTTAAGAACTAGAAAGTTCCCTTCAACAACAAAGTATTTCCTCTGCCTATTTGTTAGAACTACAAAGTGCCTTATTTTTTCGCTTAAAACATTTCTTTACATGGGACAAACTTGAGAGAAACAAAACACCTTCTGGGCTATGTTCCGCCGGCATTGCATCACCAAAATAAGGACAGAATCAAGTCATCATAGTACTTTGTTTCACAAAAAAAGTGTTTTATGAGCACGAATGTTTTTTTTTCTTTTTTATTTACAACTAAATATGGGAAGACTCAGGTATAGCCTTCACGACCGCACGTGCATCACCCTGTTGTTTGCAAGGGGTATTTGAACCCATACCTTCTTCCAGTAAGCCTCTGCGCATGCGTGCCTCCTATCCCCTGCTGCCCGCTGTCGCCATTTTAGGAGGGCACCGCTGAACAACGCGCATCCATCTTCTCGCGTATTTCCATTGTTTTTGACGTTTCTTTTTTTTTTCTTTTTTTGACAGCAGTAGTATAGGGCATGAAAAGGGATGAGAACTGACACAAGGACACAATGCCAATGTGTTTTGACGGACGGAAGTATGTTGCGCTGCCCTTCATTTATAAGACGCGGATAATCCCTCCGAAGGCGATCGTTACTAGAAAATGTTAATTAACTGGCACATACAGCATGATTACGAAATAGCGCCATGCAATGAAATATTTTGTAGTTTACAACAAAAAGAATCATCGTTTACGTTGATGGAAGCACTGGAGATCCGTCAGAACTGCTGATATAGATGTATTCTGTCATGCTTGGAATAACCGCAGTGCTCTGAACAAGAGACTCATCGGTCGATTGTTTGTCAGAGCGGCCGGTGGCCAAAAACGTAAACTTCGGGCAGGCGATACTACGGAAGGGTTGGGCACGAGAACTGCGCCACTGTTCGAGGCACTCGGATGTTCGAGATGGAGATCACGTCCAATGATTTCCACCACGACCGTCTGAAAGTTGCGAAACCCTAGAAACAAATGTTATAAGTATAAAAAATTTCTTGGTCCAATAGACGCATATGATTAAATAAGACCATATAAGAGGATACAAGAACCTTACAAGGACATATAAGGACTTACGAGGACATATACTGCTTATGAAAGCCTAACTTGCTAGTGCTCGTCTCAAAAATGTACCTCGCAATCTCCAAGTTGCTAACAAGTCCCGGCAAGAGGACGGCCGCGATCTTCCTCAAAGCCCTTTTTTTTTTTTTTATCAGTTCTTTTCATACCGCCAGCCATAGATGTTATTTTCTCCTCTCTCACTTGTTCATCGCTCGTTCGAAAGAGATATAGCGATTTCGTACAGTTCGCCGATAAACCGGCACACGCGACTAGCGAGCGCTCATTTCAGCGGCTGAGTCAAGCCAACCGGCCAGCCGCAAAGCTAAGCAAGCCAATCTTCGAGCAACTTCCGGCTGTCAACTCGCGAGCTGATTGGCCTTCATTGCGCCGTACGCTTCCGGATACGCCACGCCGAAATACGCCGAAGCGCCGAGATTTGTCTCGGTCAGATCGCCTAATACGCGCGTATTTACGCCAACCTTGAGGCGTCGAGGACGCGCTCGTCCCGACCGTCTGCCAAAACGCCCGTAAATACGTCAGAACTACACCCCATGGGTTCGGCCTTTACAGCGTCTCACAACAATCGCAACGCAAGCGCGCGGCGTTCGCCAAGGCGCACGAATCTGCCGCTTTGCAACGTGTGCTGATGTTGAGCTTCAGCGTGTTTGCTGCTTGGGGCGGTTCGAGTATCCACTAGCAATGACGTCAAGCGCAGGCCTTGTCACCTATGTGGTATTGGTTGGGGACGCGCTCCATTCACGATACCTGTGCAACGATTTTAACGTTGAAAGATTTTGCATAATCTACTTTTGACATTGTTTATCATGTTACAAAGAACAGAAAACATGTCTCTTTCATTCGAAATGTTGCGATTCCGCCACATAATCACGAGGCAAAAATTAGAATATTTCCCGACCTGCACCCGCGAGCGGCGGCCATGAGAACCACATGGCATGACGTCAATGGGGGACTTGTAAAAAGACAGGAAGTTGCGCAAATACCTGCTTGATAAAAGGAAAATTTTCTACAAATTTTGTCGTTCCACCATAAATATAAATGCGCCAAAACCCTGGTATCATCAAGAAAAATTTTATCATACGGAGTTTTAGTGGCGCCATCTATCCGAGGTCAACCACACCGTCAGCTCTATCTGCTACCGCGGACAGCCGCCAGAAGCAGAATGGGGACGGCGGCAGAGCCGGACGCGGATGGCCGAACCCGGCGAGACTTTCCTCCTTTCGCCATGTTGATCTCGCCGCACAAAACATGATCACGTGGTCGCGAGCAGGTGAGTTCTCGCTGCTCACTGATAGCTCTAGTGAGAGAGCTTCACCGGATTTCCGCTCGTCCCCCATCGACGTCACAGCGCACGTGACACGGACGACGGTGAAGGAGTTGAGAGGTGCCGAAAACCTCAATCTTTGTCAATTTTTAAAATTAAAACTAGGACATGCAGACAAAAGCAGTTTTCTGTTTTTTTACATTAGAAATGTCGAGACACCGACTCCCAAATTATTTAAGCAAGCACTGAAATTGTTGCACAGTTCCTATAAGGGCGGCCTGGTGCTAGAAGACCTCGTGAATCGGGCTCGT